GAAATTCAAAAAATCTAAAGAAATTCTTGATTAAGTATTAAATATTTTTGAATAAATGTTTGAAGTTACTTATAAAACCAACTTATTAACTTATTCCGGTGTGACATCAGTAGCAACTACTTCTGAGTGTTTGAATAAATAACTTATACCGGTGACTAACCGGTAATAAGGAGTTTTTGAAAAAGTTAAATCATTCTCACTTATAATAAGTTGATAAACACGTTTGTAGAAAAACATAAGTTGTTTCAAATAAGCAATCACAAACACCCCCTAAATTTTTCTCATTTGAAAGATTAAAATCTACGATTGAGGTTCTTATTGAGTTTTTTATAAAAGCTTTCACAGTGGGACCGAGATTTTTATCGATCATAGATTCCAATAATAACTCGTATGTTTAAACAAGAATCTGAGTTCTTGTTTATATTCTTTTTTAGCCATTGTATTTTGTTTTAATAAATCTATAAAACATATTAGTAAAGTGATAAAAAAAATATAAATGAGTTATTGTAAAATATATTTACTAATTTTGGTTTATTTTTTCCTACGTTTTATAATATCCTCAAATTTTTATGTGTGTTACACAATCTTTAATTTTTAATCTCATTCTTAATATCAACAAATTAAATTTAATATAGAAAAGTGAAAACTAATTGATTATATTTCAATCTTTTTTAACAATTTTATGATATATATATATATATATATATCTATACTATATTATAAAGCACTTGATAAAAACTCTTAAAAACTCTCCACTCCAATTTTCACTTTTTTCCACCGACAAACATCCTTGATCCACCAAATTCCAACCAGATCCGACCAATTACCTTCGTTTCCTAACTTGTATTGCTCTTTGACGTCCTCCTTTATCATCAATCAATTTGGTTTGCTCTTGAAACGATTTTAACTTTTGTACGAGCGAGTCGACTAATTTTTTACTTGTACTCTGAGGTTGGAAATTGGAAATTGAAGAGAGTGTTTGATTTGGTTAGGTTTGAATTCGACTACTTTTTTAAGAGTGTTTTTTCTTTCTGTAACTGATACTGAATCTCTTGATTTTTAAAGTATTTAGGGTTCGTTAGGTTTATATATAAAACTGGAGGTGATTTCATGGGAATTAGGTTGATTTATGTTTGAGTTACTGGACTCCATAATATCGCATTTGAAGATGGAATTGAGTACAAAATGTTAGGTTTTACATACAATTGTCCTTTTTGGTCATTTTACATATATAAATAAAATTTGTCAAATACTAAAAAACAACTTATCACCTTATTTTTTTTGGTACCGCTGTAAGCTAATCCAAACACTTTTTACAAAACTCCAGTTTGATACCACATAAGTTAATAAGCACTTTTACAAAAAAAGCATAAGCTGTTTTAAATAAGCAATCCCAAACACCCCCTTAAAATTTAAGATTACAAGTAAATTATGCATAAGTACAACTTTTTAAAGCTTCATACTTGAATTCGTCTAACTAACTGTAGAAAAACATAATCAAATATTGGATAAAYATCTCATTTTAAATATAAAAAATCTAAAATATAATTAGGATAATCATTGATAACTAACAGAATAGTTAGTTATTATCTTTATAAAAAATTATATTATTAAACCTAAATTAAATTTCTTTGTTACTAAACCTAAACTAAATTATAATTTAAAATTTTAATTAAGAACATTACACCAAAACACAAGAACTTTTAAAAAGATTAATTTAATACCGATATCGATATTTTTTTCAAAATTTTATGATATTTTTAAATTTATATTTTATTCAAAAATAAAAACATTATCACTTTCTCAAAACCACATAAAACCAATGTTTGCTTAAAATTCAAGATTACAAGTAAATTATGCAAAGGTACAACTTATTAAAGCTCAATTTTTGAATTCGTATAACTAATTGCGGATAAATATAATCAAATAGAGGATAAACATCTTATTTTAAAATATAAAAAATCTAAAATATAATTA